TTTCACTAACAGAAGAACCGACTGTTCTCTTGTTGGTCAGTCTCGTTGCTGATTTTTCACGTGGCGATTTCATCACTTTATTCAGAAGCTTCTTGGCTATGGTTTGTTGAGGACTTCTCTTATTCTTCTTTCCAACTATGCGAGTTGATTTTCTCGTGGGAGTCTTGTCTGCCATTTTGTTTTTATTCTTGTTACTAATTTCAACAGTGGCTTCTTCAGAATCCGATTCTGGAGGAGTGTCTGGTTTCTTCAACTCTTGCGTTTTAGGTATATCCGATTTATCAACGTCTTCCACTGGCAGTACTTCCACGTCTGACAGTTCACTATCCACCTCTAATGATGCTGGATCAATACGGAAAAATATTTCAGTTTCTTCTTCTTCATCTGCTGAAGGACTTGCGAAAGTTAAAATTTCATCAGCATTTTCAGATGAAATGGTTTTGCTTTTTTCATCTACCTGCTCTGCCTCTACGTTTTGTGAGAACTGACTCTCGCGCTCTTGTGAAGAATGCCCTTTCATAACCTTGTTTGACCTCGAAACACCTTTGTCTTTTTCAACTTCTGAATATTGGCTCAGCCTTCTGGATTTCCTCCTTTCTGGTATCTGATTGGATGAGCTCTCCTTCCAGCTGGAGGGAACAGTTTCAGAATGCTCTTCGACAGTAGGCAACGACTTTCTACTGGTGGATCGTCTGCTACTCCTTCGAGGTGTCATATCCTCTTGACTGTCCTCGGAAGAAATCACAACATTAACTTTATCTGATTTTTTAGATCTACGTTTCCTTTGTATGTTAACAAGAGGCTCAGAATCCTGTGAAGACACATCTCCTACATAGTCTTGGGAATTAATTTGAGCACATTCTAAATCCATTGGCATTTCATTCCCTGATTCAACCTGAATTCCCTCCTTCCTAGTTTGCTGTTCAGGAAAAGGGACGACTCCTTCTATGTCATCTTTATTTTCCAGACTTCGTACTGAAGATCCAAGAAGACTTCTCCTAGGAGTTGACCTTTTTTGCAACTCTGGTTCATCTTGTGCAACATCCCCACAAGGATCTTCCATTTTTGTTCGTTCAATCTCTCTGGAAGCATCTGGTATCGAATTTTCCTTGTCTTCAGCTTGTTTATCACTAGGAATGGATTCTGATTGTATTGCTTTTTTAGGACTATATTTTTTGATTTCTTCCTGACTCAATCGTTTCAGTTTTAGCACAGGTGTGGTGAGCAACTTTTGTTTGTCAACAAGCAGAGATGTCGCAGTAAGCATGTTCTCACTTTTCACTTGGGAGTCTGGCACTGTTTTTACTTCAGTTTCATCAACTTCACTGTTTCGAAGTTCTTGGGTCTCGGGAACAGACTTTGCCTGGGTGTCAGATTTTTCAACAGAAGTGTCTTTACCTAACTTTCGTTTCTTTGCAATACTGGTCTTGATGGCGGGATCCGAAGCAGGATGGCTGGCCCTGAATCCAAGACTTCGTCGTCTCGCATCACTGATCGTCTGTGCCTCAGTAGGAGGCGGCGTTGCAGCAATAATGTCCTCATTTGTAGAATCCAAAACATTTTCTTCCTCATTGTAAATTTCCTTCCTTTTACTATTATCTCCAATCTTCTCACTTTCTTTTTCTTCGGAGAGTGTTTGCTCAGTTTGCTTTTTGGGAGATTCTTTTAGTTTTTGTGTCATTTCAACTAGTTTGTGATCAATTTCACTTCCTTTCAGGGGTTTCACAGCTGTGTTTATTCCTTTAATACCGGATACGCTCCGGGTATTGTCAGTGTTTGAATCAGTAACTTTAACAAGTTTAACTCTCCTTGCATTTTTTTCTTTTTCCTCAACATCAGAAGATGCAGATTCTGAACCACTTTTAGTCAGTAGTCCAGCAAAGCTCACTCGATTCTTCTCTTTCTGGAAAGATTGAGTTGCCAGCTTGTTTACATCAATGTTTTCCTCATCTAATCTTGGACGTTTTGCTTGAGTACTCGCAACTTCTTCATCATCACAGGGTTCAAATCTGGAGAGAGAAAAAAAATAAGTTTCTGCCAGATACCAAAAAAAATCAAAATTAAGGAGCACGCACTGCCAGGAACCAAGGCAATAGTGAGCTCACAGATGTGAAACATTCACAATGGTGACTCAGATGTCAAGGTGCTGCATTTTTATGACAAATGACATTTTGCTCATTTCCAAAACAATTTTAAGATGGTGGTAAACCAAGTTTTTGTCTTGGATGCTGCAAGCCAAATTTCATGTCATGTTGAAGTTTTTCCCTATAGTGGGATAAAGCTACCAAATCACATGACTAATACAGTAAGTGAACACTTTGTGTAGTTTTACTAAATATAACCACATGAAGGCTGTATCGCCATGTTTATGGAAAACATAGTTCACGACATCACTCGCATCAACTGGCTCTACAAACATGTGAAATCAGGCAATCATCTGTTAACATTTTTGGTTAAAAAACCTAAACAAGCAGGCTGTCGGCTGATATCACCACGAAATTAACAAATCTGAAAGAGGTCCACATGTAGTACCTATATATGTAATATCAAAGCAATTGGACTTGCGATTTTTAACAAGTTGAAAATATCACTTTTTACCAAAAATGACAAAAATATTCACTCAAATTAGAGAATTGAAGATATCATTACAAAATGAACAAATCTGAGAGAGGTCCACATGTAGTACCTATATATGTAATATCAAAGCAATTGGACTTGCGGTTTTTAACAAGAAGTCGAAAATATCACTTTTTACCAAAAAATGACAAAAATATTCACCAAAATTAGAGAATTAAAGATATCATCACGAAATGAACAAATCTGAGTAAGGTCCACATGTAGTACCTACAGTGTTCTCCCCAGGATGTAAACAGCGTGGCGGTCCCGCCACAGTGCTTCGATTTGCCGCCACACCGGTCTGACACCGCCACGGTGATTAGCAAGACCGCCACAGTGCTTTTTTCATTGGGGATCTCGTCACGCTGGTCGGCCCGACCGGCACTCAAAATTAGCGACCACCACGGAAACGCGTCCGACTTTTGTTAT